CAGTATTTAGAATAAAAATTGCAGGAAATCAAAATACCAAAGTGCTCGGTAAATTGGTTTATGCTTTTCCCTCTCAGTTAGTTGTGAGGGTTGCTAGGTAGTCACAAATGTATCTATTAATATTTTGGTGATATGTTTCTCTTAGGAAAAAAAAAAAAAAGTCCAGAATTTACCACTGAATCCCAAGTTCCCTGCTCACTCAGATTTTTTCCCTCTTTTTTGTACTCAAAAGCCAATCTTCTTTCCAGACCCTTCATTATCAGTGTTTTCAAACCAGTGACATTTGCCCAGTTTCTCCTTTTGCTCCTATAATTTAGACCATTGTACTAGAAAACAGAAATTGATTGTTGCACAGGAATAACGGTAGACCTTCAGTATTCTCTAATATCATCAAATGTTGCTCAAATAGAAGGAGTGCTACATATCCTTCAGTCACTACTTTTGGTAATTTAAATATTTTGAATCTTCAGTAGTCTATGACAGAGAAGGGATTTTGTTCCTTGGGGGAGGTATGCACTAGCATTACACAGAACTGGTACTTTAAAAATTGGTGTAACATTACTATTCCACCTAACCCAATATTCTTACCTTGATCTAAGTAATGACATTATGGCAACTACTTCAACAGTCATCACTAGCCTTTGAGGTTTTTTTCTAAACTTTGTCTTTTCTTCCAAAGACACAAAGGCAACCAGAAACTTGTTTCAGAGGTTCCAGTTGTATCTGAACAAGAAACAATGAAATTCCAGAGGAGTTTTTAATGAAATACAGAAAAAGCATAGCAGAGGATTAAATCATCCACAGCAACAAAGATAGACTTTCCAAACACAAACAATGGTTTTATATAGTATGCTATAATTTGATTTCTGCTTTCAATATAATGAGTGTTGAATTGTATGGGAAATGCTAACCAACTTCCGGGGATTATATCATGGCAGGCTCAGCCTAGTCTCTATCACAAGTAAAAGATAGTGCTTCTGAAAGCATCAGTCTCAGAGTTACGGGCATTGGTTTCTTCTAACAGTCACATCTCTGCCAGCAGAACCAGAGTTCTGAAAAAATCAAGAGTTCATGGTTTCTCTGCACTTTTCTTCTTTTACTTGAAAGCCAGTAAAATGAAAAGAATCCTAGCTTACTATGCTAGCCATCATCAGAGAAACATTTGCCTTCTCTGAGGCCATGTAAGGCTGATTTAGATAGACGTGAAAGTAGATGCACAGTCAGATGGACTACTGGCAAGTCAGGTTGAATTTGCAGATTGATGGGGATTTTTTTAGTTGGGAGGGAGAGATATTGAAGATATTTAAACACTGCATTCCTACATTTTGGCAAGTATCTGAATACAGACTCAAAGTGGCATTTTTTATTCAGTTCTGACCTAATTTTAAAAGGATATAATTGGGGGTGGGGGGCAGGGAGGGGAAGTACTCAGAAAACGAAACCTTTCCTTCCAGGTTAACTGCTAATGAATTTTTTTACATCCATCTTTATTCAACTGCCCAATTACAGTCCACCTTTGAAACAAAAAATCTGCTACCTGCACTGGAAATGTTCTGCAAAACTTGCATTGTTTTCCTTGAATAACTGCAACATGCAAACTCTTTCTTTTTTAATATCTAGCTGTATTACAGTGTTTCACCATCTTCATCAAACAGCGATTTCTGAACTACTACCTTGTACAGAATCCTTTTACCAAAAAAAAAAAATAAAATCACCATTTGCATTTGGCTACATCCCAAAGGGTTTGTGAAGTCAGTTCTGTATTATGCAACTCTTTTCAATAGTGAAAGAATTACTAACTTTTGCAGGTTGTTTGGTCTGGTTTTCTAAGGTCTTTAATTCATAAACTACTGGAAAATTATGGTGGTTTCAAAAAGCAAGGACAAACTATGTACCAAATGTGCAAGAAAACTAAATGAGTGAAGCAGTGCAGATTTTACATTATAATGGGAACAGGACAAATTGAAAGAAATGTCTCAGACCATGTAGTATCAAGTATAAAATTATTCATTACTTATTAGCTGCCATTCCTGTTGCCATTGGTTTTGTTTGTAAACAGAGACCACAAACCACAAGCAGAAAATTACAAAATGAGAACAAGTGATCTTGGATACAATAAGTTGAAATACAAACAATTCTGTACAATAGAAAGAAAAAAATCTTGTAAAAAAAGGAACTTTGAAAGAAGACTGGGGAATGATCATTGGCAACAAACTGGCTGTCCATTGCCAGTGTGCTACAGTTCAAATAAAAAAAAAAAAGTGCAACTGATTACATATGCATGTCAACTGTGTGTGCAACTGATTAGTGGAGAAAGTGGACAGTAGAATGAATGAAGGTGATTTTGCCTAGGGGTGCTGGAAGACTGAACTGGCCTTTTGGAGATATATAAGCTTGATTTTGTGAACTTCGTCATCAATAATTAAAACATTTGTGTTAAAAGTTGTGTTAAAAAGTTGTGTTAAAAATTTGTAAGCTTCCTCTGTTCCAGTGTCCTTAAGGAACAGAATGCCAGACAAAATGGAATCTAAATTCATTGAACAGGTAACACAGTGGGGTCCCAGTCCTTGGAAAGCAGAATTTTGTGGGTCATTAAATCACAAAGTAGTAATGTCTCATATGCCGTTAGACATTATGTACCACAAGGAAGTGCTGCATGCACACACAATGACTTGTAAAGGAATATTAGCAGCACTTGATGTCAGTAGCTCAGACTGGAAAGGGAATATGTGGAATGAATTAGAACTCTGGTCCTCCTGAAAAATTTGTATGTTAATCTGAGAGCACAGTTGATTTCTATGAATCAGAATTATTTGGCTTAGCCCATCATAAACAAAGCAGCAGTAAAAACAAATACCCACCACCTCAAGCTGTTCCTTCTGGATGGTCTTGGTAACTCTCCCACCACAGCGATCTCCAATTCCCTAGTTATACACACACGCGGGTGCACGTGCACACACATACACATATATTCGGTGGCAACAAGATCACATCTGCTCGCAGTGCTCTTGTCCAACCAAAGTTCAGGATCAGGACTTAGCAGACTCTGTGAGCCAAGTAACTGAACATACTTCTATATTGTATGTGTGAGGAGGAACTAAGTATTTCTGCATTCACCATTTAAAAAAAAAAACAAACAAACCACGTAACACCAAGCTAACAGAACACTGCTATTGCTTTTCAGTATTTCATCAGCTTAAAAAATCCACATTCACTAGGAATTCAGCCCAAAGTAATAAAAATGTGGCACATTATTTTGCTGTGATATTAAAATATACATGTAAAGCCATGCTAGCTCGCAAAGGCCAAAATAAATTTAAGCACGTTTTTCTCCCCAAAATCAACCTTACAGCTTTATATGATGGGAGGTTTCTGCATGCTAAAAGTGAGACCTACCATAGTGTGTTTTGATACAATAGTTAAAGCCTGCAAACTGTATTTTGTTGCTTCTTCTTTCAGAGTAGCAAAATTGCGCTTTCCCTTTTAGATGCTTGAAGGTGCCACCCCATTACATAGCAATGGGGTAAAGGTGCTACAAGAACGACGACGTTTGCCCTCCTCTTCTTGACAAAGCAAGCGTAACTTTCTGTATGGTTTTTTTTTTTCTGTTGGTGGGGTTTTTTTCGGTTGGTTGTTTTTCAGCAAAGAAGCGCTGCCATTGCTAAAGCATCTCACAGGTCAGCAAATAAGCCTTTGTAAAAGTTTAGACAATAGCTTCATAATGTACCACCTTGACTTTGGGTTTTTTTTGGTCCTTTGCTGGTTGCTGTGGACGGGGGAAAAAAAAAAAAAAAAAAAGCAAAGCTGTCTTTCTGCATGTGCATTCACCAGTGTCAGAAGCCAACACTGCTCCTTCTCCTTCGGTTCCACGGTCTGTTGCTGCCGTGTTTGGCCCTTTGCACGTTTGTATCACTGGGGGTACATGTGTCTCCTTGCGTCCGCCTGTGTCCCCCAGTGTTTGGATGTGTGTGCGCGCGCGTCCTTCTGTCCCTGCGCGTCCGTGTCCGCCCGCGAACGTCGCGTGTCCCCGTTGGCGCCCCTGTGTCTGTCCCTGCGCGTTCCGCGCGCGTCCGCGCCCCCCCGCGCCGCCGTCCCTGCCCCTGGCGCGCCCG